TTTAAACTGTGATGTGAGATAGGTGAGATAGGCAGCGCTTTTCTTTTCCTAAAGCAATTTCCAGCTTAACAATCACCCAAGAATTTCAGAGTACCAAAGAAAGAAGACTTATCCCTGGAGAAAGCATTTTTTGATGAGGGATGACAGCAGCTCAAGGGGCACGATGGTGAGCAGGCAGAGTAGGAGAAAAAAGCACCAGGAAAAGGCTTTCCTTTCTTTCTCTCTGCCTCAAGGGAGTTAATATGGTAGTCCCTGTTATCTATTTTTACTTTCCATGATTAAGTCAGCTATGGTCAATTGTAGTTTGAGAATATAAAATTGGAAATATTAAAAGAAAGAATGAGAAAGGACTCACTTTTTTTATTAGTTTATTGTTGCAGTTCTATTTGATGATCTTTGTTCATTTCTTACTGTGCCTAATGAGTGCATAAGTTAGGTTTTACCATGGGCACATAGGTATGGAAAAACCAGCATATCCAGAATTTGATACAGTTGGTGACTTCAGGCATCCACTGGGGTCTTGGAACATATGCCTGGGAGGCAAGGGATTACTAATATAATTGTTCCTTTCCTCCTCCAGGAGACGGGGAGGAGAAGGTTATTGAGTCACTGGCAGATTGATGGTGGGCCATGTGGGGCGCATATGGGCTTGTCTTGATTAAATTCCTAAATGTGGGAGGAGGGCTATTATTCCCAGGTTTGTTTCACAAAAATAAACCTGCTGCAAATACCTTCACCACATCTTTTGTTGCAGCATTTGACCATGAACATTGTCAAGTTCACACAATGCAGTTCCTGACATCTTTTGAAAAAAAAAAAAACCATGTTGCTACATTTACTGCTCCTAACACAGAAAACATGTCTTTAATTCCTGATTTAAAACATGCTATGCTTTACTTTGCTAAACCTTACCAACACAGATGTGTAGCCCCTGGTCACACTGTTTCTTAGGTGAACTTAGCTAAAGATCATAGCATCTAATTTGATCTTTAGACACAGGTTGAGAAGCTTTTCCTTCCCAGTACACACACTTTTGCCCGAGTCCTAATGAAAGGGCTCTCTTGGGAATGGCTTTTGAAGGAATAAAGCAGCATGTCACAGAGATTCATTAAGTGTTTGCCAAGTACCAGGGAAAAGCTACCAAAATATAAAATTCTAAAATCAATAAGAGTAATAATAGCTCATTCCTTAAGGCTTTCTGCACACAAGGGCAGAATGACTCCAAAACTCCTCAGTCACAGAATATCAAGGGTTTTAGCTGAAAAGGATTGCATGGAGCTCCCAAAGCCAGTAGTGGAAAGTCAATGGGAATAACCAGGTGCATGACATATTTCTGTAATGGGAAATGTTAATTCTAGCAATAAAGATGATGACTCCCTAAGTGCCAAATAGAAAGAATGGCTGTGATTCCAGAGGTTTTGTTACATGCCACATGCTCAGGTTCACATGCTACCAAATCTATTTGGAAGCAAATAGGTGACGAGCATATAAAGGTAAGGGATTAATAATGTTACCAATGAAATTAAAGATCAGAATACTTTCTGATTCCTCTTCAGCTGGAGGATAGTGACTATGAAATAATTAATGAAGCAAATAGGAATAAAAGGGATCCAAGTGTCTCCCTCCAACCTTTGTTTAAATTCATGATATGTCTTTTTGTCAGACTTTAGCTTTCTAAGCTGAAAATGATCTATTTTGTCTTATCTAGAAAGCCCCCAGACAAGTTCTGTGTTGTTAAGCAGTTTCTGAGCATAGGCCCTAAAGATAAAACAAATGCCTTGACATTGAGATGAAGAAAGATCCTGGAAGTACAAGTTAATTTACATGGTGTTCTACTCATTTTTTTCCTTCCAAGATCACATTCTCTCTTTATATTTGTTCCTACATGAGTAATGGAAAGTGGCAAAAGTCAGGCTTCAATGCAAGTAAGGCTTAAATCATTATTCTTTCAGAAAGTCTCAATAGACTGCAACTTCTGGACTTCTGTGAGAACTAAGGAGAACAGAATATTTTTACAGAACAATGAGAAAAGAATTCACACTATATACTGCAGAAAAAAATCCCACTCATCCTTATACTGAGTACTATGAGAATTAGAAAAGTAGAATTTCCATCTTAGGAATGCACTTGGACACACTGTTACGTGAGTTGTCTTCCAGAATGTGTAATTGCGACATATGGGGTTTTGTGCCAATTATCCCCTAAGACTCTAGTTATGGAACTTTTTCTGATATAGATAAAATGAATAGGGAGAAGAATCACTTTGAGGAATGACTTATATGTGTATTTGGGGTACTGGTCAATCTATTATGAAAGGCTGAGCAAAACAATTATATTTCTTCCCAGGACATAAACAATGAGGGAAGAAAATGACTCAAATATTTTCTACCTAAGGGAATCCGGTTTTGGCCCACATGCTGGTCTCAGCGATTATTCTCTGCCATGGTCTAAGTTGATCAAACACGAAGTAATCAAAAAACATTAGAAAAATTCATGCAAGTGTATCCTTCGTACAACTAGAACCTAGAATCCCCAAGTTACAGTCAATGGAATTCTAGAACATTGCAGATATAAAAGAATAGCTCAAGGCATACACCCATAGTGAGAATGGAGAAAATTAAAAGATCAATTATCTACAAACTCATGACTATTATCACTAGGCAGAAAGTAGCCAATTTTTCTGGGAAAGTCTTGTAAACCTTCTTTGTAATCCCATTGCTGATTCCTGTAGTATTCTCTATAGTTACTGGAGCCCCATTCCTCTATTAGTCTCATCTTATAGGATTTATTATTGGGTTCAGGAATAATTCATAAGAGTACTACTCCAGGCTAATAATGCCAATCTGGATTTTTGAGATTTCAGGTTTTGAAGATACTAACAACCAGTGTGCTTCATGTTCAAATAAGTCACAGAAGCCTAAAGTAAACAATAAAAATAGAAATGTTTTTGATTGGATTTTTTGGAGAATGTGTCAGATTTTCAACTTTGGAAAAGTGGTTCTGCCAGATTTCTCCAACATGTTAGGTAATGGGACTATATTAGGTAATGTTCTATATTATCAAATATTCTCTCTTTCCCTCTAAGTAGTTAAGTACATGCTTCATAAAATATAGAATGAAAATCAGGTTGTTCCTATTAACTTTCAAAGACTATCCTTTCACTTTAATTTTGTTTGAAAGATCCCATTTTCCATCAGCACATGAGTGGGAATGATGATATAACTTACAGCCAAACTTGATCTGCATTGTTAGATATAAATAAGACCAGGAAAGTGGAACAAATTTCCAAAAGTTCAATGATAATCATTAGGAAAATCAAATAAAAAGTGACTCAAATGAGCAATTTTTTCAGCTGTCTATTTCGTTTTTTCTCCCTTTATTAAGGGAGAAAAGGGCTTATCCATGTTGCTTCTCAATTGGCAAAATAATCTGAGGGCCTGTCATTCTTTACTGGGGTCAATTTAATTTTATTAAATGTCCTCAAAATTCCAAATACTAAAAAAATGCTAGCATTTCAGACCTCTAACCCAATGTCAAGAAACAAACCCCAGAGCCACTCTCCAGTTCACAAGCTATTCACAAAGGGACCTACGTTCAGAAGTTTCTCAGACTGTGCAAAGTGTAGAAAGCTCATGTATATAGATCACTACAATCCATATTCAATGCTTTCTAAGATCACATGAATAAATGCGTTGAAAGTCATTCATTCAATGTTTAGCCAAATGTAACTGCTTTCTTGACATGATAAGGATATAATGCCATTTTATAAAAACAGGAATATTTGATTTTGAGAAATTATAATTAACACAAAGTGAACTGGGTAAGTCTTCTTTAGTTACAGGGTGAAAAGTAGCACAACTTAACATATTTATGGCTCCTCACCATAATTTTTGCTCCATGGAAGAATGGAGGAATGAGCAGTAGTTCTAAATTCAGCAACCCCCTCCCCTGTTTTCCCTCATCTCTTCGAAAACAAGACAGGTTTCTTTTTATCCACACAAGGTTACTGTAAAAACAAAAACTTAAATCTACATAGTAAAGAATCAGGGAGAAACCCTGAACTTGCCTATTGAACTAATACTGTGCATACAGTATTTGAATAGAGAACATCAGAGAGGCAGGACTACATGTTTCGTTTGATTGGCAGACACCCAGCCTCTGGCAGCAGACACATTTAAACAGGTTCTTAGTTGAATTAATATCATGTCAAACATGGATCACCTTGGTTTTTGAGTGGGTGTCTGAGAAGAACTCTATATCCAGATGGCTTTTGGACACCTGAATTATTGATATTAGCTACTAGTGAATATTACCTAGTGGTTCTAATAGCCAGTAAACCTCCTCTTCCATTTTCCATGATTCCTTTAGCAGTGATTGATGAAAGCAAAATCTAGGGGTGGCTAAATGAACATTTTCATTAATAACACCTACCTTGCATTTTACAGGTACATCTGGTGGCACACCACCTCCTGGAGAAACCAAGGGCTTTGTTACAGTAAACTGGTCCAGGGTGATATTACAAGTATAAAAAATATTCCATTCTGTATCAAAACTAGGCACATGCCTTTATTTATAGTAACAGAAGTTAACAGAGTTGAGCAGTTTTGCCTTGGGTCCTGTTTTGTTGGCATCCTACACCAAACACATCTCTCAAACATATTTCCACCCATAGCTCCAGGGATCTAGTCTCAGGATTATCTGTAGGTAAAGGAAGGTGAAACCACATTTGGATTTCTAGTGGTGAGTAACTAAAAGCACAACCTCTCATTCATATTGCTTTAAAACATATACAGCATATGTGTTTCAAAAAAAGGAAAGAATATATTGATCTCTTTGTGATGTTCAACAAATAACATGATCTGATGCAAGGCTTTAACAAATGATAATTATAGATACAAATTTTTCTGTAGAGTATGTTTTAGACAAATGTGTCTTTGAATATGTAGCTCCTACACTGTAGGCTCTGTTTTATTATATATTTTTTCTTTTTGTTTTTGTCATGGTAGAAAATGCTGAATTGTCCGTGAGCATGAGCCAAAGATTCAGGTTCATTACTGAGATCCCCAGAATGCCAATATTTGCAATGCAAACAATTAGTAACCCACTGTGTAAAGGACTCCGCCACGTTCCTGCCTGCCCCTACATGGAAAGTCTCCACGAGAAGTCCTCCTGCTTCCAAGGACCCTGCTTTGACATAGAAGCAGCCGCACATGCTGCCTCTTTCACTTCATAAATCATCATTCCAGACTGTCTTACTGATTACCAACAATGACACAGAGACGGTAGTACTAGCGGTAGCCCCTCAAATCATTTTCATGTTGAACCTCCTGGGGCCGGTCACCTCCCCTTCCACAACAGCACCATTATTTTTTCGGGGCACATACTCAAGGTCAATGCTGTTTTTGTGTTTGCCTTTCCCTCGGCTCCACACAAAAAGGAGGAGAAAACAAAATAAAACCACTCCCAGGAATGTAAAGCAGCCCATAGCTGTAGACACCAGTATTGTTTTAAGGTCCAGGGAAAACGTATTGGCATTGGTGCCATTGGAAATGGTGTCATTGGAGTCGGTCATATACATAGGGGTCCTGTTTGCGTAAAGGAAGCGGTCTGAAGTGAATCCTTTCACAGTTAGAGAGGCTGTGAAGGTATCATTGCCAGCAGCATTGCTTGCGATGCAAACATACATCCCACTGTCTTGATCTTGGGCAAATCGAATTTCCAGGGTGCCATCACCCAATACAGTGGCTCTTCCATTGGACTTGGTGGTGATAAAACGCCTTCGCGGAGTCACCCAGGAAATCACAGGCTGTGGATCTCCATCCGCATTGCATTCTAACTGCACGGTTTGCCCTTCATCCACCAGTAGGTGCTGTAACTTCTTTTCACGGATTTTGGGTTTTTTGCAGGTAAAGTAAAAAGAAAGGGCAGTGCTATGGAAATCCTTGAATGCCCTTTCACGGATGGTGTCCGGACCTGCGCACATGGGTTGCTGGCCACCAAACTGCAGGGTGGGCTGTCGCTGAAGGATCCAGAGGAGACGGCAGTCACAGGCCAGTGGGTTATTATTGATGCTCAGGACCTCCAAAGCCCTCGGAGAAGAGAAGACACTCTCTTCCAAAGTTTCCAGCAGATTCTGAGACACGTTGAGCACACGAAGGAAGCGGAGCCCTTGGAAGGAATGAGGCTCAATGGAACGGAGCTGAGCCCCCACTATATGAAGCTCCTGAAGGCGAATTAGATCAGAGAACATGCCTACTTCGATAGTGCTGATGGGATTGTAGGAAAGGTTAAGGTGGGTCAGGTATACCAGGTGCTTAAAGGCAAGGAAGGGCACAGTAGACAAGTTGGTGTTGGTGATTGAAAGGGATGTGAGGTTGAGACCATAGAGGCTATTGGCAGGCATCATATCAAGTAAGGGCCAATAGTCAATCTCCAGATGTTTCAGGTGGAATAATCTTTTAAAGGCATACACGGGCATAGTGTTGATATTGAGATGCTTCAAATGCAGGCTGATGAGGCTGCGGAGGTGGGAGAGGGCTTCTGTTGGTACTGCTGTTAAGTTGCATTTCTCCAAGGTGAGCCGCTCCAAGCTAAGTAGCCCGCTGAAGGCCCTGTGTGATATGTAAACCAAATCATTGTCCCCCACTTCTAGAGACTTCAGGTTGTGAAGATCCTGGAACATGTAGTCCAGTAAAATGACAATTTTATTCTCACTAATGTCGAGCTTGGTGAGGTTGGACAGCCCCGTGAATACCCCTAGAGGAACCAACTTCAGGCGATTGCCTTTCAGACGAAGGGACCGCAGGTTGAAAAGGCTGTTAAATGCACCCGGTTCCACATTGGCGATAATGTTGTCACTCAGGTCTATCTCCTCCAGTAGAGGATACGAAATGAATTCCTCAGGGTTGACACTTTTGAGCCTGTTTTTACTGAGGTCCAGGATTTTGGTCTCAATGGGAATGCCCTCTGGGATGGCCATCATCCGTCTTCTATGGCAGCTGACAGATTTGTTCTGGGCAGAGCACTCACAGCGAGCAGGGCAGCCAATGGTGGATCCCATGAAGATGAACACCACAGCCAGACCCAGGAATGGCTGCCAGCATGACGCAGCCGTGTGAAGCATGACTCCACTTCTTAGTCTACACCTTGGTCAAGGGTCTGCACAGATTAGGCAAAGGAAAGGAGAAAGAAAAGCTGAGTTAGAATGATGATGGTTAAGGAGGTAGAGCTAAAGCAGAGATCCTAATGAAGAAGACACAGGAGTTAGGATCAGTCATCTCTGGGCTTACACGGGCGTGATTCTCTGTGTGACTGTGCACGAGTTGTTTCACCCACTTTTCAGCATGTCAGTGCTCTTGTCTGTACAATGTAAGGGGAATGGTCATATCTTGTGAGTATCATGAGAAATGCAGTGTTTGACAATGATAAAGCAACAAATTCATTGTGTGGCCTAAAATACTTTCCTTACATAAATGGGTCCTTTTGGGTTTAGGTGAGAGAAACAGAGGTCAACGGCTAAGAGGAAACCAGTTCACTTTGAATCAATGTTGGGAAAATTTTCTTCCATTCAATATGAAGCCAATAGAAGTTGCACTCAACATTAGACCTTGACGTTCAATGTAAAAAACTAAGCTAGGTTTCATTCTAGGGGTGCAATTTTTTTTTCTTCCTATATATGTTTTTTTTTTTCTATAGAATTTTGATTTTGAGGCAATCCTCCATCAGCATTCAGTGAATTTTGGCTCACAAGTGGATTTTCCTTGTATGAGAGGAACAAAAAATGCTCCAAAGTTCTCTGTATCATTTCTGTGTTCCTCCTAGGGATGAAGCAGGGCGATGATGGCACGAAGACAATATTTCTTTTATGATGTTGACTTAAATATTTGCAAATGAAAAGAATTTTAAGAAAAAATCATATCCCATTACAAAAAACAATTATTCTTTTATACTAAATGAGTTTGGAAGTGAGTTTATTTCCTATGTAGCTGCTTTAGCTGATACCTAAATCGAATAGCACCATGTTTAGTGCTGGGACGTGCTTCTCACTCGCTGGTCCCAGGAATGGATATCATCGTTTCTATGTTACACAAGGTTAAGTAATTTGAAACAATGCTCTGAGGTAGAAAGGTATTTCATAAACTTCAACACCTGAATTACAGAACAATTGATAAGGGAGCAACTTTAACGACAGGTTTTATACATATGTTTGCACCCAGACCTAATGCTATGTCCATAACTAAAGAAAGTTATGCATAAAAGAAAAAGAGAATAAACTCAATGGTGAAATCCTAGGTTAGTAGAAGTCACCCCACAAAATGTAAAAACCAGTCAAATGCTAAGAAAATACTTGCCAAATCAATTAGATAAAAATACAGAAGTTATAATTATGGACAAATTTGTAGCAAACCTGTCAAAATGCAAGGATTAAATTAATGGCTATCATAAAACCATTTGACAGAAACTGAAGATTGTTAGAGCAGATAGATATTAATTACGTCAGAATAGTATAAAATCAATATGATTAATATCTAATATAAAAATAAGCCATTTAGAAAATATCATTATGAAAATTATTCCAGTCACAACATTTCTGAAAATATCCATCTTCTTAGAAGAAAGGAAATACACAGAATATGACAACTATAAACTATACTGATGAATTGAAACTTACCCAAAGCAGGAAATTTTGGAAACTCATATGTGCTTTTTATAAAAGCAATTTGCATAAACTTTTTGATGATTTCTTATGCATGTGGCTTTCAAAATATTTTATAGCTAAATAACCTTAGTTTTTAATTGTATTTGCAAGAATTTGTGACGTGTTCTCATAATATGTATATATAAACATTAAATATTATGACCTTCTCAATAAAACCACTCATTGCAAAAATAATATTTCTGAGGTTGAAAAATTAAGGTAATGCTTATTCAGAAGGATATATGTATGAAATCATGAGCTCACAAAACAATCACTGAAAGCATTTTGCAATATAGTTAGACATAATAAGCAAAACTATCATAATAAAACAGTGTGATGTTAAAATATATATGGGCCACAAAGCAAGGACAGTCAGGAATTATATCCTAATATATTTGACAGATCAGTTTATGTTACGTAGCATGTTAATTTAAAGAGAACAATAAAATAGTTGCCAACCATGTAGTGAGACAGATTATACCTTTATCTTTACTCTTAATAAACTAAATTGTGAGTGAAACAGGATTAGTGCAAGAAGAACAAATGCACTAGAAGAAAATGCAACAGTTTTACAATACTACATTTAAGAAGCTTTCTCTGTAAATAAAGCTATAAATCAGACAAATTTTTAATTCTGTTGTATGCATTAAAACTATGTAACTATCAAATACACACACCATAAACAAGCTATAAAATTGAGTTTTTAAAAAAGATTTATTCATTTATTTGTAATTCAGATTTATGGAAAAGATGGAGAGACAGAATATACTTTAAGCTTATATATTAAGTAATAAATTAAATATAGTAACAGGCAATTCTTATCAACAAATAAGGAAAACAGTGAATGCCAACGCAAAATTAGTTCTTGACTGTAATATAAACTAAAATAGTCAATAAATATATGAAAGGATAATCAAACTAATTAGTAAGCATATAAATAAATTTTAAAATGGGGTATATTATTGTTTTCTGTAAAAATGACAAAGTTGAGTAAAATTCTGGCCAGAATTAACAAGGGGTAAAAGGACTCGTTGAAAACATCCACATTTGGCTATAAAACATTACGAAAGCTTGTAAGCATTAAAGGGTTCAAGTACAGCAAAGAGGTTCAGTGATACATCAGATTTGAATATATCACAATTCAATATGGTCACCATTTTGACTCTATTTTTCCACCTTTTCACTGCCTATATGGGATCTTGGTGCGTTCAAGGTGAGGACTTTAGCCGCTAGGCCACTGTGCCAGGCCCTCATTGGATTTTTGTGTTTTTGGATACTTTCTGCTGCTATTTGGCCAATATATTTTCTATTTTTTTTAAAGGTTTATTTTATTATTTTTATTGGAAAGGCGGATATACAGAGAGGAGAGACAGAGAGGAAGATCTTCTGTCCGATGATTCATTCCCCAAGTGAGTGCCACAGCCGATGCTATGCCGATCTGAAGCCAGGATCCAGGAACTTCTTCCTGGTTTCCCGCACGGATGCAGGGTCCCAAAGCTTTGGGCCGTCCTCGACTGCTTTCCCGGGCCACAGGCAGGGAGCTGGAAGGGAAGCGGGGCTGCTGGGATAGACCTGGCAACTATATGGGATCCTGGGCACGTTCAAGGCGAGGACCTTAACCACTTGCGCCACCGCGCAGGGCCCTATATTTTCTGGTTTTGTGAGAACTTTTCTTCTAACTCCAGTTTTCTTCTGATGCATTTATGTGGTTTAATGTCAGAGAAATGCTGCCTTCATAAACCCAGTAGTAACTATTTCTTACAGAACTTTTCCAGGATTATTATTTCTTTCTCAAACATTTGGAAGACATTAATTGTGAAACCAGCAGAGCCTAGAAATTCCTTTGTGGAATGATTTTGAAATAAAAATTAACCTCCTTAGCAAATACTGCAATGTATTTCTTTTGCATCAGTTGTGGTAATTTGTTTCTCTTAATTTTTATGTTTTATCTGAGCTATCATATTTATTTGTCTGAAGTTGCCAATATTTTCCTTGCTATTCTCTTAATATTTTGGAAGTCTAGAGGCCATCACTTTCGTTGCTGATATTGGCGAATTGCACTTTTGTTTTCTCATGAAAAAGTCATCTGGACCTTTTCAATTTTATTGAGCTTTTCTAGAAACTGAGTTTTGCAGGTGTTGATTGTCTGTATTGACTGCCTTTTTTTTTTTCTTATTAATTTTTGTGATTATCCATACTATTTTTGGCTCTTTCATTTATTTTGGGTTTAATTAGTTCTTTCTAAAAATTTTTAAGCTCCCTAAGGTAGAAGCTGGGATTTGATATTGGACATTTCTTCTTTTCGAATAAGTGTTTCAAACTATAAAAGCTCCTCCCTCTCCATTTACCACTTCAATTCATTCATTGTTTTGATTTTCTATTTAAACAAAATTAGCAGTCAAACATTTCATCATTTCATAATTTACTTCCTTTTCAATTCATTACTGGTTTAAGATTTAGTTGGTTCATTAGTAAATACTTAGACCTCTAGCTTTTTAATTTTATTATTTATTTATCTAATTCTCATTTAATTCTGTTGTGGTGAGAAAATAAATAATGCAGAGTTTCAGTCTTTCCTGTTTATTTCAGGAGTTTGGGGAAGAAAACAAGAAGATAAGAGCTCTCTCTAGGTTTATTCCTATTTTTGCTTCTCCTTCTCTTTTAGATAAGTTTTTGTTTGCTTGTGTTTAGATTTATTTATTTTTATTGGAAAGGCAGATATACAGAGAGATCTTCCATCCAATGATTCACTCCCCAAGTGTCTGCAATGGCTAGAGCTGAGCCAATCCGAAGCCAGGAACCAGGAACTTCTTCCGGGTCTCCCACGCGGGTGCAGGGTCCCAAAGCTTTGGGCCGTCCTCGACTGCTTTCCCAGGCCACAGGCAGGGAGCTGGATGGGAAGCAGGGCCACTGGGACTAGAACAGGCGACCATATGGGATTCAGGTGTGTGCAAGGTGAGGGCTTTAACCACTACACTATCGTGCCGGGCCCTCGATAAATTTTTAAATACTGACTAAACATATTTTTTAAAATGTATTTATGTTTTTATTTTACCATACAATTCCATAGGCTCTGAGATTTCCCTTATCCCTTCCCCAGGCCACTCCCCCATACTGATTTCCTGTATATCATTACAACAGCATAGTACTTCATCAAAGAGCATCATCATGCTATTTAAGTGTGTCCAAACATTGTAGGCATGAACAATAGCAGAGAGTCCAGCATCCTATTTTCAAGGTATATTTAGCAGTTTCATTGAGAGTGCATCTTTGATTTGGAAGCAGAGATACATACTGCATTGCATATTCACATCTGGATATAATAGTCTCTAGTAAACAGTTATTATACATCTCCTTAAATGAAAAGCCATAAAATAAAATCAACAACAGAAAGAAAAATAGAAAACTTACAATACCATGAAGTTTAATAAATAATATGCTACTGGATGACTATATTTTG